GAGAACCCCTGGACTGACTCTTAGAGAGTCAAAGGCAGTATTTCAAAATGAGCCCAAGGAGGTAAGCAGGAGTCAGACCCTGCAGAACCTTCTAGTATGTCATGGGAGGGAATGTGACATTCATTCTAAGAGCAATGGGAGCTAGGGAGGGTTTTAAGTAAGGGATTAACAGTTAATTATGTTTAACTTTAATTGGTTTTTAAATGCACTTATTAGCTAGACTCTTTTCTAGAATCAAGATTCTCCACAAAGTGGGGTGGGGGTGAGGTGGGGAGATAGATTTCAGAATTACCTGGAAAGATTATTTTTAAAATATAACACTGGGAACCCTTCGAGTGTCAGTGTGTGTGTGTGTGTGTGTGTGTGTGTGTGTGTGTGTGTGTGTGGTTGGCGGGCATATTTTAGAATCGCTCCCCAGGGGATTTGCCTCCACTATTTCCTCTAGACCAGCGGTTCTCAACCTGTGGGTCGCGACCCCTTTGGGGGTCGAAAGACCCTGTCACAGGGGTCGCCTAAGAGCATCGGAAAACAAAAAGATATTTACATTACGATTCATAACAGTAGCAAAATTACATTATAGAGTAGCAATGAAAATAATTTTATGGTTGGGGGTCACCACAACATGAGGAACTATATTAAGGGGTCGCGGCATTAGGAAGGTTGAGAACCGCTGCTCCAGAACTACTGTTGCTCTAGGAGCTTGAGAGGGTTGAAATGGTCATTAACTGCATTATCATGAATTCTTTATCCACCTTACTGGAGTGGAGAGGGGTCTTCCAGTGGCCTGTTCTCTGACTGGCAGGTAACCCACTATTAGGGAGAAAAAGGAGAGGGGATCTCAGACAAGACCAAGAAAAAAGAAAGCAGCAGCAGGGTTTATCACCAGAGGAAAGATACCAGGAAGTACAGATGAGCAGAACTAATTTCTAAAAAGGGTTGGAGGCTCTACTATAAACAGGACCTGGGTGCTTTGGTGCAAGACTTGGTTGAGGATGAAAACATAAAGCAGAGGATTTATACAGTGAAAACGTATCTTAGCTACTCAAAAGTGTTGTCTTAGTAGCAACAGAAACGCAGAATCTTGAGCCCTACTCCAGACCCCAGGCTTACTAATCACAATCTAAATTTTTAACAAGAGCCCCAGATGTTTCTTATTGCTCATTAAAGTTTAAGAAGTACTGGTTTGTATCATGGGAAGAAGACCCCAGACCACCAAGAGGATAGGTCCAAGGCACAGATGAAGCACTTTATTTTGAATACCTTCTGATCCAGGACAGTGGTTTCTGAAAAGGTATTTAATTTTTGAAAATTAGGTGCTATAAACCCTGGGGAAAGACCTTATTTAACGGCGAGAGTTTTCTCATAACGCAAAATTCCTTCGCCTAGAAACATTTCCTGTGAAGTACTAGGCTTCCTTAAAGTGAGGCATAGCCACGTTAAAAATATGCGATAAGAACTCGGCACGTGGCCAAGTCAACCCTTAGCACAGCTGGATCGGGTCTGGGGCAGCCCATGTCCCTTGGCAGGTCTAAACCACCAGGATGAATTTTTAAACAAAGTCAAGTTGGCAGCTGTTCTACCCCTGAGAGCAGCTCTAAGTTGAGTCTTTAAGTGGTGAAAATGTAGAAAGGAGAAATGACAAAACTATTTTGAGGAGCGTGGCTGGGTACCTAAGGCGAGTCGGCTACAAAGCGAAGAGGGCAGCAACTCTAGTAACTGTTTTAGCCCCAGGTGCTTTTCGACCTCTGACCCAGCGCCTTGCCCGGCCTTTCCAAGCGCAGCTTCCGCCCCCGCCCCTCCCGTGACGGGCCGGCCCAAGGGATGTGGGCAGGGCCCTGGGGGCTGGCAGTTAGGGGCTGTGCCTGTTAGGGGCGGGTCTCGCGAGGGGCGGGATTTGAGGAGGCATCCTAGCATTGGACTGCTGGGCATAGGCGGGGCATAGTGCTGGGTTGGGCTGGGCGGAGCAGGGAGTTAGTTGCAGCCTCTGGGTTAACTGGACTCAGGCGGCCAAACCTACGGAGGCCGGGGGCGGTAGGCAGACCTGTAACAGATCCCGGATCCAGGATTTCCCAGGCAGGACCGGAATCAGGATCGGCCCTGCCCCAAACCTGGTCTGTGAGGAACTCGCGAACTTGAATTAGGAAATCCCGGAACCCGGATCAACAAACCCCAGAACCCGGAATTTAGATCGGAAAGTCCCGGAGCACGGAACGCGGAGCGGACTCGGCACGGAGCCCGGAGTCCGGATCGCTGTACTGCCGGACGGGACGGAGCGATGTCGGGCCGTGTTGCGGGCGGGTTCCCGCTGCCTCCGCTGAGCCCTGGTGGCGGCGCGGTTGCCGCGGCTCTAGGAGGACCGCTTCCGCCAGCGGGACCCGGCATGCTGCCGGGACAGGCTCTCAGGGGGCCGGGGCCGGGGCCGGCTGGAGGCGTGGGGGGCCCCGGGGCCGCCGCCTTCCGCCCCATGGGCCCCGCGGGCCCAGCGGCGCCGTACCAGGTGAGGAGGACGGATGGGTGACAGCACCACGAGCACGCCTTTAGCAGAGGGCGGAGGGGGTCCTAGGGCAGCCTCCTGGACAGCGGGCACAGGGGCCCTACATGTGGAGCACACGGGACAGTTTAGAGGGAAAAGCCAGGGACCCTCGGAATCGGCTAGGTGGTGGTGGAGGACTTCGTGGAGAGGGTAAGAGCAACTCGGGTGGAGGGTTTGAAGCAGTTGGAAGGGTCTGGGGGCTTCTTAGAACAGGAATTCTGAATACCTGAGGGATGGAGGAGTTGTGGGAACTAGTGAGTTATGGGCGGGTGGGTTGAGAACTCTAGTGTAGCTTCTAGGGGTGGGGGTTTTGGGAAGTGATCAGGTAGTTTTGGAAAAGGGCCCTCACTGAGAAACCAGGGTTACCCTGCATTGGCCTTGGTCCCACTCCAAGTCTGCTCTGTTTTTTCTAGTTGGGAACTGGCAGAGATCTAGCGTGTCTGAGATGGCTCCCAGCTGCTAATGAGGAGGAAGAAGGGCCTACTTCCCACGGGCATGGGAGGCCTAGGATAGGGCAAGGGGATTCCAGCCTGTGCAGCTGAGAGTCTACTCCTGGGTCAGGCCCAGGAGACCTTGCATGGGATGAATCTGGGTTAGACCAGAGACAGTGGCGGCCAGGCCTGAGGAAGGACAGCCTGGCCCATTCTGGGAAGATTCTCTTTTTGACTTTCTGCCTTGTGTCCGTGTCCAGGAGTTGATTAGCCTGGATGAGCAGAGAGGCTCCACTGAGTACTGCTGCTCTGGGGCTGAGGAGCCTGTGCAAGTTGCTTCAAAGGGTTCTGTCCTGACCCCTTTGGGGTTTGGCTTTGAAGAGAGCTTCTCAGGTTGCAGCTTGAAAGGCCATTGGGAGGCAGAACCTTGGTCCCTGTGTGAGGAACTCAGCCTGACTCTGCTGGTGGGGCTCATCTGTCCCCCAGTCCATTGTTTCTGGTTGTCCCAGAATGCTTGGGAATTGTGCCCATGCTTTTTCCTGCTCCCTCTTCAGTTTTATTTAGCCTTTAGGTCAGCGGTTCTCAACCTTCCTAACGCCGCAACCCCTTAATACAGTTCCTCATGTTGTGGTGACCCCCAACAATAAAATTATTCTCGTTGCTACTCTATAACTGTCATTTTGCTACTGTTATGAATCGTAATGTAAATGTCTTTTTGTTTTCCGATGGTCTTAGGCGACCCCTGTGAAAGGGTCTTTCGACCCCCAAAGGGGTCGTGACCCACAGGTTGAGAACCGCTGCTTTAGGTTCTAACAATGCCATATCCCAACCCATGTGCCTAACATTTGGCACTGGCTTCTAGCAAATTTGAAGGAAGGAAGGAAGGAAGCTGGAGCTTCCTATGGCCTCTCCTCGTGTCTCCAGGTAAAGGTCCTAGAAATAGATCCTCATAGATACAGGTATGCATATCCCCCCCCCCAGGAGCCTTGGGCCCTCACTTTCTAAAGAGATGCTTAACTGAGGGTAGTGATTTTTCCCTCTTATTACTCGTTTTCTCTCCTCCCTCTAAAAAACAAAACCAAAGGGTCTGGATATTGACTGAGACAGACCCATGTCCTGACTCCAGCTGGGGTCTGTCTTTCTCATCTTGCTCTCCCCATTGGGGATTCATGGGCCCAAGGTGTCCTTGAGAGATGCCTGCCCGCATCAGTCATTCCAGCCCTGGGGCCAGCTAGCTGAGACCTGGCCTGGGAGCCTCCCTGTGGGCTTTTGGCCTGGGAGGGATCTAAGGAATGGATAGGAGTCTCTTCAGGTGCCTCAGTTTGCAACCCATGGGAAGTGGGCCGTGGGGAAAGCCTCTGAGAAGGTGGATTCCACAACAACTTGTAGGGAGTGGCCTCGGGCCAGTGGCAAGGCTGAGGGAGCTGGCTGGGTAGCCCTGGGCTATTGGGGATGGGAACAGGGGTAAGGAAAGGTAAGAAGGCACTGAGCCTTTGCTTCCCAGGGCCTCCCATCCCACGAGCTTCCCATGGCCTCCACCTCCTCCTCTTCCAGGCCTAGGCAGTGGAAGTACATGGCGGTAGGGAGGACCCAGTTCTCTCTGCCTGAGTTTGAGGAGGCTCCTGTTTGGCCCCTTTCCAAGTCTAGTTGTGTGACTTGAGGAGAAGGGACTTGAGATCTGAGGAGCAAAGGAGTTCCTGCGTGAGGTGAGCTGGAAGAGCAGGGATTTCAGGGCCCAGCCTGGGCAAATAGGGGAGCCTATTGAAAGAAAAGTGATGACCCACCTCCCTAGACACACACACACACACACACACACACACACACACACACACACACACACACTTCTGGGTTCATGCCAACAAGTTCAAAATATTTTCTGAATATTGGAGGTGTATGTTCTCTTCTTCTAGGTCCTTAGGCCCAGCCACCAGCAGCACCAAGGCCACAGGCTTTGAGGCAGGGCAGAGGCAGCGGCATCAGGCCCAGCTTCCTGTCCCTGCTGTCCTGGGTGGGGTGGGGGTGGGAGTGGGGGTAGAGTAAAGCTGAGGATGTGGGCTGGTGCTGGGCTAAAGGGAGAGGAGGTCGCTGCATGCTTCTAGGGTTCGGGGCACTGAGCCAGGCCTACCCAGCCCTGCCGCAGGTGGGAAGTTAGGGAGTGCGAGCTCTGGGCTGAGTCTTTTTTTAACCCCCGGGTTGTTTTTCGGAAGAGGAAGAGTTACTGGTGTTTCATAGCCCAGGTGTGGAGCTTGGCAAGGCCAAGCTGGGACTTCATGAACTGTAAGCAGCCTTCCCCTGGGCCCCTTCCCCCTCTTGGAGGAAGCCTGGGGCCCTGGGTAGCTGGGGGCTCTGCTCCTGGGAAGCCTGGAGCAGATGTCTGGGAGGGGCCTGTTCCAGGCCTGCCTGTGCTGCCCAGTCTTGGGACTTCCTCTTACGGGAGCACCTGCCTAGGAGGGGTGGTGGTACAGTGGTTTTGTGAACGTCCTAGTGAGTAGCCTCATGGGGACCACAGAGCCCTAGCTCACACTCTGCAGGATTCACTGCTTCAGTTGTTCCTCCCCTTTGGACCAGGCGCTGGGTGGGAAAAGCTCATGTCTAGGATGTCTGGAGGCTGGGCTTACAGCTGTGGCCACACTGACTTTTTTTCCTGTAATCTCTGGCCATGGCTTATTAAGGCAGAGAAACAGGCTGTCTTTTGCCTTTCAACAGCGCAGATGAATCTCTCCCTGATGAAGAGAGACTTGTGGCAGGACTCTTGAGGTCCTAGAGTCCTTCCACGTTTAACTCTCCATTCTCCCAAATGCTTCCTTCCTACCCTACTCTCCCTTTCCCCTTTCCCACGTCTCTGGGTCATGGCTCTCTCTCCATCTCTGCATCTGGTTAAGAATCTGACCCTCTGTGGCGAGAACATGGCTTTCGTCCTAGATGAAGAGGTGGGGGAAGAATCTGATCTCTGATGCTGGGGCAGGGGTCCTTTGATTTAGTGCGAGTCCCCACCCAGCCTGGCTTGGTTGGCTGGTTGTGCTGGTTGCATAATCTGGGCCCTGGGGCCAGCCCTGTGAAGCTGCCAGGGACAGTGTGTGCGAGGCAGAGCTGCCAAACAGGCCTTGCAGACAGCAGCCATGGGGAAGGGGGGTGGAGGGTTACTCACAGATGGGCTCCACAGAAATGTTGGGGAGCTAGCTAGACATCTGTGGGAAATCCTTCTGCAGGCTTCTAAAGAAGCCATTTCTGTCACCCAGATGCCTCTGCTGACCCTATGGCTCTGACCCTTACAGCCCAGGATAACCTTATCTCCTTTCTCCAGCTTGGGATTGCCAAGGCTGAGTTGAGCCAGGTGGTGCACAGACAGAGTCCAGGTGCCAGCTGCTCTCTCTCCCACAAGCCACCAAGGAGCCACAGCTTCTCTTTTGGGATCTTCTAGAATTAAGGTCGGGGGCTGGGCAGTAGGGAGGTGAGAGAAGGGTCCAGTTTTGGATTGTGAATAGGGGCCATATGGTGACCAGATGGTCTCTGTACTCTGCCTGTGGCCACTCCCACCAACTGGGACATGCTCCAAGCCATCCTGTTGCAGCTTGCTCACCTGGGGTGCCGTTGCCTGATGGACTTGCCAGCCCATTGTACTGCCTTCCCCCCTCAGTCATAGCACCAGGCCGGCAACAGGGGATGGGTGTTGGGGCTTTGCCTGGTCAGCCTGCCCATATCACACTGTACCCCATTGCCTGGCTGACACTGCCCCTGGGCCTCCTGGGCCGTGCTTCTCCCTCAAGTGGGGGTAAGAAGGATGGGAGAGCTTGGTGGGACCATCTGAGGACCTCAAGAGTGCCTCAAAGCTGACTGGTCCCAGGAGGCAGGGGGATAGCCAGCTGGGGCCGAAAGGTGGCAGTGAGCCCTGAAAAACTCCCCTAGGCCCTTCCCTCTGCAGGCAGAATTCTCCTCCCATGCCCTGGGCTCTGCAGGCCTCATTTGCTGGCACGGCTGCCAGGGCAGTTGAAGAGGGCGGGGCAGGTGTGGTTTACACTCTGCTCTCAGGCACCTGCTCCCCTTTGTTCCTGGCACTCCAGCCGGCCTTGCCTCTGTGATGTGTTGCTCAGGGCCAGACCTGGCCAAGGAGAAGGATGGAGGGAGTAGGCTATGGGCCCCACAGGGCCCTGCCACTGACCTATGCACCCCCATTGGCTCACTTCCCCCAGCGGCCTGGCATGTCACCAGGGAGCCGGATGCCCATGGCAGGCTTGCAGGTGGGACCCCCTACGGGCTCCCCATTTGGCACAGCTGCTCCACTTCGACCTGGCATGCCACCCACCATGATGGACCCATTCCGAAAACGCCTGCTTGTGCCCCAGGCTCAGCCCCCGATGCCTGCCCAACGCCGGGGGTAAGACTGTCCTGTTTCTCCCATCCTACCTAGCACAGCTCTATGGGTAACAGAGGGCTTCCTTCTGTCTTAAGAACTGCAATGACTGAGGAAGACTCCTGGTTCTCTTGGGAGTGGGTCCTGGGGACTGGAGGGATGGATGGGGGGAGGCCCTTTGGACCACTGACCTCTTAAGTGGGTTTCTGTCCTCCCCAGGTTAAAGAGGAGGAAGATGGCAGATAAGGTTCTACCTCAGCGAGTGAGTATGTTGGGAGGGGGCCTAGGATGGCTGGGTGGCTGCTGGCTATGGGTGGAGTCAGTCTCCCCCAACCATGTGATGGAGGAGGAAGGAGCCAGAGCTGCAGCTGAAACAAGCTGATGAACCCCTTTTCCCTTTCTCCAGATCCGGGAGCTTGTCCCAGAGTCTCAGGCGTACATGGATCTCTTGGCTTTTGAGCGGAAGCTGGATCAGACCATTGCTCGCAAGCGGATGGAGATCCAGGAGGCCATCAAAAAGCCTCTGACGGTGTGTGCAACCCTGGCCACTCCCTGGCCTGGTTTTCCAGGGGCCCAGCGAGTGTCTGCAATGGGCTAGAGCAGGCTTTTTCACACTGCAGGATGCAGCCCATTCGTGGAGCAGGAACTCAGTTTAATGTGGTGGGCCCGCATGTTTTTAATGAAATATAAAATAGAAATTATAGTAATTCTTCACAGTAAAGTACTTAGCATATTGGTAATGGTGTTATTTCATGACATTTTTGTTTGAGATATTCATATAGATGTGTGTGGATCCTGGGTCATGATTTAAAATGTAAATCGTGTCAATTGTGGTCAGAAGTTTGAAAGGCAAGGCTAGAGGGTAGATGAGGGTAGTTCCTTCTCCTTCCCCATCTCTAGAGGAGCTTTTTCTTTTTTAAAAGTAGTAATCTAGAACAGTCCCCTGAATGGTGAAGACTTTCCAGGAGATGAGGATATTTGGGGGCCATGATGGGTATTTGAGTTTCATTTAAAATATGAGCCGGAGACTTCTGATTTACCTAGTAGCACCCGGTATGGCCCTCTGTCACATCCCTGGTCCCACTCTGTTGGAACTGTTGGTAGTGCATCTGTTCCTCCCTAAACTTGTGAGTCCCTTTAAGGCCAGGACTGAGATTTCCTACTCCTGATTCCCGGTGCCTAACGAGGTGCCTAGAGTATAGTCACTGTTCAGTATCGATGCCGAATGAGCTCAGGCAGGAAGGCTGGGCAGCATTGTTTCCCAACATGTTGGTCCACCTCTCTCTAGCTGGTTGTCTTTCTCTCTGTAGCAAAAACGAAAGCTGCGGATCTATATTTCCAATACGTTCAGTCCCAGCAAGGCAGAAGGTGACAGTGCAGGAACCACAGGGACCCCTGGAGGAACCCCAGCAGGGGACAAGGTGGCTTCCTGGGAACTCCGAGTGGAGGGAAAACTGCTGGATGATGTGAGTTGGGGAAGATGTCTGGAGGGGAGGTGGCCTGTGTGGGTTTAAGACTGGGGCCAGACACTTGGCACTTCTGGGGAAGTCCTGGCACTTCTGAGGGAGAGGGCAGTGCTTGTGGTCACACTCTGCACAGCTCCAAGCCAGTTAGAGGTTGGAGATTTGTGTGGTTATTACAAGTTTTCCTGAAGATGGCAGAGTGTCTTGAGGAAGCAGTAACCTTTCCTAATTCACAAGTCCTATATTGGCTAGCAGTGGTACTGCACAAAGAGCCCTTCCTTTGCCTCCTTTCTCTCACTTTTCCCTCTTCCTTCAGGGCCCAAGAATCCTCAGTACCCTGAACTTCAGGGTCAAAACAGTCTTCTTTTTTGGGCATAGCGTAGCTTAGGTTTGCGAACTCAGCAGCACTCCAATCTCGCCCCTTTCCATCCCCAGCCTAGCAAACAGAAGAGGAAGTTCTCTTCATTCTTTAAGAGCCTTGTCATTGAACTGGACAAGGAACTGTACGGGCCTGACAACCACCTGGTGGAGGTGAGAGTGGACCTGGGGCATGGGAGCACAGGCTGACATGCCGGGTGGGCAGAGAAATGTCCTTGGTCCCATTGGGGGGCCAGGTATGTATGTTCACACCCACCCCCTTGGTGATGAGCTTGGTTCCCCTCCTCCCTGCCAGTGGCACCGGATGCCCACCACCCAGGAGACAGATGGCTTCCAGGTGAAACGGCCTGGAGACCTCAACGTTAAGTGCACCCTCCTGCTCATGCTGGATCATCAGGTGACATGCTCTGGGGTCACAGGGACTCATCTGGGGGACAGGGGCCCTTCCTGTCCCTGCCCTATTCTTCCGCTTTTCACAAGAACCCCTCCTCTGATTCCATTCTGTCCATCTCCAGCCTCCCCAGTACAAGTTGGACCCCCGACTGGCAAGGCTGCTGGGAGTGCACACACAGACGAGGGCTGCCATCATGCAGGCCCTGTGGCTTTACATCAAACACAACCAGCTGCAGGACGGGCACGAGCGCGAGTACATCAACTGCAACCGTTACTTCCGCCAGGTTAGCGGACGCCATCCCCCCTCTAGTCTCACAGCCCATCTTGCCTGCTGCTTTGGAGCCCCACTGGGTTAGTTCTCAGCCACATTACATTCCTCACACTGACTCTGGGATGATCTACTTCCTTCTGTGTCCTCAAAGGCATCTTTGGTCTTCTTTCCAGATCTTCAGTTGTGGCCGACTCCGTTTCTCCGAGATTCCAATAAAGCTGGCTGGGTTGCTGCAGCATCCAGACCCCATTGTCATCAACCATGTCATTAGGTAAATAGGAAGAAGGGGGTAGGAATGCTCTTCTAAGAGCAATTTACCTTTGGCTTGAGAAGCCAAGGAGAAGCAGCAGGTTTGGCTTCTTGCTCCCCAAGTGTATGCAGGTTTGGCTCAGGTGGGTGGGATGGACACAGCTGTGTACTCACCCTTGCCCTCCTGTGGGCTGCCTGTAGCGTGGACCCTAACGACCAGAAGAAGACAGCCTGTTATGACATCGATGTGGAGGTGGATGACCCACTCAAGGCCCAGATGAGCAATTTTCTGGCCTCTACCACCAATCAGCAGGAGATTGCCGCTCTCGATGTCAAGGTGGGTCCTCTGCCTCCCCAACCTCATCTGGGGCCCAGGAGAGGGCTGGGCAGGCTCTGGTGGACATTACCATGCATGTAGCACCTTGGGATGGGATTTCTGTCCAAGTCCTTTGGGGTTAGGCCTAGAACAGACCCTTTAGGGGTGGGGGCTAGTCTGACACATGCACTCTTTTCCCCAGATCCATGAAACCATTGAGTCCATCAACCAGCTGAAGACTCAGAGGGATTTCATGCTCAGCTTTAGCACTGACCCCCAGGACTTCATCCAGGAATGGCTCCGTTCCCAGCGCCGAGACCTCAAGGTGGTCGTCTTTCCTGGGGCTGATCCCATGTTAAGCTCTGGGTGGTTTTACCCCCATCGCCATTCTTCCAGTTCCAGGGGCAGATTGGCTTAGGGGTGGGAATTATGCTATGGCTTTCCTCCTGGCTCTTTGCAGATCATCACTGATGTGATTGGGAATCCTGAGGAGGAGAGACGAGCTGCTTTCTACCACCAGCCCTGGGCCCAGGAAGCAGTGGGGAGGCACATCTTTGCCAAGGTGAGGCTCTGCCGTTTGCCCTCCTGTGGTTATAAGCAGCAGAGGCCTGAGCTGCCCCTCTCCCTTCTCCAGGTGCAGCAGCGACGGCAGGAACTGGAACAGGTGCTTGGAATTCGCCTGACCTAACTGCTCAGGGATCTTTCTTCCCAGCCCTGGAGCCATCCCCTTCTCAGCCTGAGAGGGACCACCACCTGGGGCCACGGACACGTAGGATAAGGATGGGGTGAAGGGCAGCTCCTGTCACCCTCCACTCCCCAGCTTTAGTTTCTTAAATGTAGTGATAGGATTCCTTGTTGCTTGGTCCCCAAAGCCTTATTACTTTACGCGTTGGCTTTAATTGGGTTCACAGCAGATGCCTCCTCTGCCCCCTGCAGGCAGGCCTGAGTAGGACTGCTGGAAGCCATGCTTTGACATTGTAACCCAGACGTTTCAGAACCAAAGGCCCCAGGCTTTGCTTGTTTACAGACTCCCCCTTGGGGTGAGTGTCTGAGCTGGCTCTGGGGAGCTAGGTGAGGAAGAGAGGCCCAGTTCACATTCCTCCTAGCCTTTCTAAACCAAAGTTCTTTGCCATTCCTACCAGCCCAGCCTTGCTGCTGGGTTTTTTTCTTTCTTTTGGGTATTTGCACTATTTGGGGAGCAGGTTTTTTCTATGCGGGAGCCACTTTTTTGTACAGGGGGTAAGCTGGGGTTTTTCAGGGAGCCCTATTTGGTGCTTCCTTCCTTATGTTCTTTCCTCAATCTATGCAAGCGGCTCTGGCGGCCGCCATCATCTCCTGGGATGCCAGAGGGCTGCCACCCAGCTCTTGGGCCCAGGGTGGTAAAGCCTCCCAGAGGAAGGGGTTGTTCGAGTTCTCTGGCATGGCCCGAAGTACGGGTGTGCGTGCCAGGTGTGGAGGGCAGGGGGAGGTGGGGGAGAACTCTTCTTACCCTTTGGAGCTTGGTAAGGAGGGTGGGCCTAGGGCTTGGCAAGTGCCACTTCTGGCAGGTTTGGAAATTTCCAAATAAATCCTTGTTTATTGGTGGTACCCAGACCTGGTCATTGAATAGTGCCGCCACTCATTAACAGACTGAAGTCCTACAGGGCTGTCCTGCAGAGTTTTATTTGAGGGATCCACAGAAGGGACATCCACCTCACTTCCATAGCTTCTTGATGGACATGTTTTTCTCACTATCCTTCTGCATGACCTGGAGAGAGACAGGGTTAAGTTATAAACCGGGTGAACACAAGCCCTATCCCCACTGCTCCAGAGCCACCCCTCAGCAAAGGCAAAAAAGATGGGTGCCTGTACCTTGGCTACTGCCATCTCAAAGTCCTCCTGCGTGACATGGACTCGCCGTTCCCGCAGGGCATACATGCCGGCTTCAGTGCACACACCCTGAGCAAGGAGAGACAGAGGCTGTTGCTGTGCCCTTGAACCCAGAGCTTCCTGCCTCTGCCCCTTTTTCCTTGGGCTCTCCAATTACCTTCACTTCAGCCCCTGATGCTCCTGGCATGAGCTCAGCAATTTTTCTCAGGTTGATCCCGCGGGTCAGGTTCATTTTTCGAGAATGGATCTTCAAAATGTCCAGCCGAGCCTAGAGATGGGAGAGGAAAAGCCTGAGCCCCACCACCTACCCCAACAGCCAGGGCTACTCCCAGCACTGCCCATCACAAACCTCCTCATTAGGGGGTGGAAATTCAATTTTTCTGTCGATGCGCCCTGGGCGAAGCAAAGCTGAGTCTAGGATATCAATCCTATTAGTAGCCATGATAACCTGAGTAGAGAAAGGGTGTGACATCAGCTAAGCCCTTCCTCAGGCCTCTCCTTACCCTGGACCTTCCCTTGGCTCATCCCACGGCCGACACCACCTTACCTTGATATTCTTGGTGGCCTCAAAGCCATCCAGCTGGTTGAGCAGCTCCAGCATTGTGCGCTGCACTTCACTGTCTCCTCCAGAACCCCCCTCCAGCCGTGAGGAGCCGATGGAGTCAATTTCATCCATGAAGATGATGGATGGAGCATGTTCTCGTGCCATGACAAACAGCTCCCTCACCATTCTTGCACCTGTGTCAAGGCCAAGCTGGTGTTATGGAGCTGATGAACGTCCTACCCTAACCTCCATCCCCTCACTTCCACTTGGTTTTCAAGTTTCTAGCCACGGTTACCTTCCCCAATGAATTTCTGTACCAACTCAGAGCCAGAGACACGAATAAAGGTACAGTCTGTATGATGAGCCACAGCCCGGGCCAACAGTGTCTTCCCAGTACCTGGGGGTCCATATAGCAGCACTCCCTGGAAAGAAACAGCAGGACTCAGGGCAGAAAGCTAGCCCCACATTTCATTCACTGAACATTTATTGAGCGTTTGCTCTGCTAGACCCCATGCCAGACGTGCAGGGATACAGAAAATGAACGTCAATGTCCCTTCTACAGCTTATATCCAAACATCCTCAGTACCCTGGCAGCATCTCTATCCTGGGCCCTCTTCAGTGGGGAGGGCCAACTCCCCTGCACCTCCCGGACCCCTGCACTCAGTTTGGCCTGCGATATATAGGAACAGCAGGGCCCTCCCACACAAGCCCTGCTTCTCACCTTGGGCTGCGCAATGCCCAGCGCTTCAAAGAGCTCAGGATGTTTAACGGGCAGTTCGATGACTTCTTTGATCTCCTTAATCTGCTTGTCCAGTCCACCAATCATCTCGTAAGTTGAATCTGGCACCTTCTCCACCATCATCAGTGACACCAGTGGGTCTACCTTGTTGGGCAGGATCTTGTGTAGAGTGTAGCTGTCATTTCTTAGAGCCACCCGGCAATTGGGTGTCACCTGTGCAAGGGGAGAGCGTTTCAGGACATGGTGTGGTGACAGCTGACCCCAATGTCCCCACCTCACCTGCTGCACTCACATCATTGATGTCAATGTTCTTGTCCACGTCTACGACAAACTTGCCCTCAGGATGTACCTAAAGAAACAAGTGCTGAAGCCCTTCCCTGACAGCCACCAAGCCACCAACCTCACCCAAGAAGATCCACAAGTCCTAGAATAACAGGACAGAACGGTGTCCTCACAAGGCTACACTCAAAGGTCTGGGAATGCAGCGGGTGGTCCCTGGGGTCATGTTGCCTTTACCTTAACTAATACTTTCTTCTTATCCATGGCCCGGACCACTTCTCCCACGTAGGAGCCTTGTTCCTGTAGCAGCTGTAGCTCCTCCCGCAGCAGACGAACTAGATGAGAAAGAGACATAGTGGTCACCCAGCTTCTTTGGTGTCCCCTCCCCAACAACTCAGTTCAATATGCATGAACAGCACCATTTTGAAGTTCTGAAGGGAAGGCCACAAAAAGTCAAAATTCATGTGTTCAAGGGAGTTACAATGGGACTTGGGGGAGACTGTGCATGTGAACTGTGTAACAGTCCAAAGCATCACCATGGACTGGGAGAAAACAAAAGCACCCATGCGAAGGCTCCGTTCAGGGAGATTTGAACAGTCAGACTGACCTCAGACCAACTGCCCACATGCAGCCTTCCCACCTGTCTCCCCTCACCTTTTGCATTAAGCTCATTCCTCTGTGCCTGCAGCCTCCGGAGATTTTGGCTCTTATCATTCACAATCAGCTGTGGAGGACAAGAAACAAAGGGCAGAGAACAGAAGGTTTAAGATCTTAGCCACGACCTTCAGAGGCAGGTATGAGCTGAGTGAGGGAAGAGCACAGGGCACCTGGCATGTTGTTTCAGATTCTCCAGTATGATTCTAATGACCCTGGCCTGCCCTCCAAGAGCCCTCTGGAGCCTAGGATAGCCATCAAAACACACTGCTTGTCTAACACTGGTCCAGGAACCACAAACCCTAAGGGAGAAAAGTTACAGCTGGCTCATGTAGTCAATTTCTTGCAGGGCAGCATAACAACATGCTAGAGTAGGAAGATCTTTGAGTCAGAAGCCTAAGTTCTAGTCCTCCTGCTGCCAATTAACAGCTAGCTAAAGCTAAGGAAAGCCATTTAAAAGGTCTAGTTCTGTTAACAAACTGCAAGTGGGCATAGCATCACCTACCTTGCCTCTTTTCAGGACTGTTGTGAGGAACAAATGAAATCACACGAATTTCAAAAATCATAAGCCAAATATAATACCTACACATGTAGCTGGAATTCACAAATACTCCCTGTGGCTCTCCCCCATCCAATGCATATTATTTTCCTTATTTCTATGGTCCCTGTTCCCGCTTCAGGAAGCAGTGTGTCACCCAATTCCTTTTCATTCAGTCCCCTGAAATCAGCATTGTCCAGACTCCTCAATTCTGTCTTCTGTTACACTCTTACTCTGTCCCAACCCCTCTCTGATAAATCTCACCTGAGCCCCTATCGTCCCTTTTATTAGAAACCCTCTCAGTCAGGCTTCTTCCAAAAGAAATGGCCTTTGGCTGGGGGGTACCTTTTCTGCTTGACTCTTGAAGGTGTGTAACAAACCATTACTTCTTCCACTGCGCCTCCCAGTGGAATTACATGGATTTGTAGAAATCTCCATCAATCCTTCATTCCCCCTTCAGCTCTCTCTGGACTTCTGGCGTCGGTCCTTACCTGGAGTTCTTCAATCTTGGACAGATAATATTGGCGGAGTCCACTTCCTGCCTTGCCCTCTTCCAGCTCCATCTGAAGACACAGTGTAATTATTAAACAACAGGCTAGCCATCCAAAGTATAAAGCCACTTCCAGCTTGGACCTTGGAGGTTTAAGATTTGGGTTCTAAACCCTCTATTCTCCAGAACCCTTCATTTCCCCATGACTGAACTAAAGGCAGGATGAGAATGCCGCCTACTTCATAAGACTTGCAGGAGGATCAAGAGACGATATACACGAGAGCGCTTTGTACCGAGTCAGGCGCTATACAGATCCCAGGTGTTATCACTACAGGCGGAGCCAGTAGGAAGGACGGCTGCCCTGTCTCCTGCGACTCGCGGATGGGCCCGTTCCCGCTCCCATCGCTCCTTTCATTCCGCTTCCACTGTGTCATCCTCTCCCGGCCCTGCCCTGACCCGCCGGGCGGCGCTGACACAGCAGATCCGGTCCCAATCCAGATTGGTCCATCCAACCCCGACCCACCCGACCCTCGTTCCCCGGCCGGCGGCCCACCTCGGATCACGCCTGCTCCGCATCCAGCCCCGGTTCCCGCCCGGCGGCCGCCGCCGCCACCATACCTGCTCCGGCCCGTCAAGCGCCATCTTCCCCCAGTCGCGGAGAACGCCGGCATTCGAGCCGCCTTGGCGCGCAAGCGCAGAAGCAGGGGCTTAGAGGCCGAAGACCGAAGCAGAGAAGAGTTCCGGGTCAATGGGCGGGGTGTGTGGAGAGACGATAACAAATAACTGAGGCCATGATTGGAGGGGGGTACGCGAGGTCAGGAGCTTTGGAAGGGGATGGCGAGGGCACAGAACTCCTAAATGTTGCTCTCTAGAAACTCTGTGTGAGTCCGAGTAATCTGCTCTCTTGGCCCCACCTTCCAATTTATAAGAACTGGCGACAGAATATACAGGTCTTTTTGTGTGTGTGTGTGGCCACGCCCCAAATGGCGGAAAACTTGGAGCCGGGGACGCAAGCGACGCAAGCGACGCAAGCGGAAGCGGAAGCACGTTTGGTGCCTCCATGTGCCGCTCCAAGAGTGGCGAAGTCGGCGCTGGGAGCTGTTGAGTGGTGTGGTTAGGCAGAGCTCAGGGTGATTGCCTCGGCAAGTGGGGAGCGGAAAGCGGAATCTCCTGCTTCGGGAAGAGACGTTCCAATTTCTACTTTCTCCCTAGATTGAGGGACACTCCTCGGTCCCACCATGGGCAAGAAGGGTAAAATCGGGAAGAGCCGACGGGACAAGTTCTATCACTTGGCAAAAGAGACTGGTGAGTAGGTTCGCGCCTTCCGCGAGCTAGCGAACGAGAGACCTTGTCGAGTACCTCCCCCTTTTCGAATATTGAGTTTGTCTTCCGCAGAAAGGGTAGTGGGTTGTGAGGCTGCAGAATTCCCGCTGGGAAAGCACTCCACGGACTTATTTTTTTTGTCCCCAGGTTA